TGGGGACATCTAGATACACACCATAACATTCCTCTGACCCCCAAAAGATTCATAGGCATGTCTATGTAAAATGTGTTTAGTCCATGTCTAAAGAGTTGCCAAAGTCCTAATAGCTTGAGCTGCTGGAAAATACAAACCCAAAGTCCCCACCTAAATTTAATGCAAACTGTTAGCTACATTTCCTTGTAAAAATGAAAAGAAAATTAAACATTTCCAATGTACAATGGCTCAGGATAAACCTTCCCACTTCAAAACATAGAAATAGGGGGATAGAAAGGAATAGAACCAAGCAAGATAAAAATCTAGCAGAGGGGCTGGGGATTTAGCTCAGTGGCCTAAGCACCTGCCTTGCAAGCAGGCAGTTGTGAGTTCGATCCCTGGTACCGATAAAAAGAAAAAAGACCAAAAAAATCTAGCAGAGAAAATATTACATCTCATAGTTCCATGCCCAGGACTCAGAACCATCTGTGGCAAGATGTACACTCCAAAGGCTTGAGCAATTCTGCCTCCCCAGTATTGCCAGTGGTGACATAGCCCTCCTAGCTTTTGGGAGGTGCCTGCTTTGATCACTCCTTGCAGATTTCCTCAGACAGTACACATTCCTGGTGTCCCCAGTATCCTGATATCTCTATCGCACTTTTGACTTCAATCTCATAAATTACATTTAGCTATAAACTCATCTGTAGGCTAATTTACTGATGAGTATCACACCTCCATGATTCAATCACTCCTCAAAGTCTCACTTATGTGGACATGAGACTTCAGGGTGACATTAGCTATAAACCATTAACACTGTGAAAATCTGACATAAACATCCAAGGATACTTACAATGCTTCACATGCAAAAAATTATATAATATTTTAATACAATACCAATTATTGTACCCATCAGAATAATGTACTTTCTCAACACATAACACACTTTGCCATTTTAAAATGTTCAGTTAATGTCATCAAACCTTTTACTGATGATTCATTATATAGTTTAGAATAGAATTTGTGGAAAATGAAAATATGTAAATTTCTAGTTACCTTTATCTGTTTTGGCCTTGCATAATTTTGACCATCTTCTGGACTTTACTTTCTCATATGTGAAATAAGAAATTTGTATTGCATAATTTCTAAAATATTTTAAGTGCCACATTTTGAAGATTCTATATAATATTCTGCTCTATTAGCCTAATTCTAATAATTCTATGTGTTTAGTAAAAAAAAGGCATTTTCTTTGAAGTTCTGTTCTTCATTACTTAATCTTGGAGATGATGAAAAAGATTTTTCTTCAGAATAGTTTCTCCTATTGTAATCATAAGAAGTTCCAATACTCAGATTGTGAGACAAACTTGACTGAAAGTATACTGAAAGACTTTATTTTACTCATCAGCATTCCTAGGCAGAGATTGATTTTGATTATTAGTGCTGTCCCCCTAAGTTACACGAGAGAGTTTGGCCAAAGGCTTCCCTTGCCAGTGAGTAGAACTTGAGAGGCCAGAAGTCAAAGTGAAGTCAGTCTCTCTCATGTTGCTACAGCTGCCTGGGAAGAGAGGACAAGACAGGGATTCCTCTAGCAGAGGCTGGGCTAAATAGAGCTTCAAGTACTGGCTGAGGAGAAGCACAATAGAACACTGAAGTCTTCATCACAGAACAGGCAGGTGTGCTTTACTTCAATTTCTTAGTTTCCAAAAGATATTTTAGCATTATATCTATTCTAACACTTTCAGTCCCAGAATCTAGACACTTTTTACCATCCCCATAAAGGCAAGGAACAGGAATTTAGCGATTCTCTCCCATGTAATGCATCGTCTGTTTGAGGTGAAGAGTACTGGAAAATGAACCTAGGGCCTTTGCACTGAACTTTATTCCAGTCTTTTAATTTTTTTAAAATTTTGAAATAAGGTCTCACTAAGTAGTAAATAAGTCACACAGGCTGGGCTCAAACATGTGCTCTTCCTACCTCAATATCCCAGAGTGCTGGGAATGTCACATTTATTTAATGTCCTCTCTGTCCACACAATCAAAATAAGAGCTTTGTCCTTAAGTTTCTTACATTAAAAAATGATTGTACCCATCCAGGGATTTAGCTCAGTGTCGTAAGTGCCTGCCTGGCAAGCGCTAGGTTATGATTCCTGGTACCAAAAAAAAAAAAAAAAAAAAAAAAAAAGATTGCATTTGTTAATGTACTCTGTATCTGAGGATAACCAGTAAAGCTTGTTTGTAAATCACTAGAAACTATTTCTTGTTAGCTATAAGATATAAAAACATGAAACATAACATTTCTATTCATATTATCCAAAGCTTATCATCATTAATAGTTTCATTATAATGGTATGTGATTCTTTAAAATAAATACAATAAAAATTGTTGAATTCTTCTGATTCTATCTGAAAATTCCCAGTTCAATATGAAGTTGCTGAATTCACAGTAAGAATTAGTTTTGTTAGATCATCTAACTTAATAAAATGTCTAATATTAGATAAACATCACAAACATCTCTTAGGTTACTATCTAGCCTAGTTAATTTTTCTATAACTAATTTGCAAAAAAAACATTTATTATAATCTAGAAGGAAGTATTAAAGTGCAAAACTCTCCTGGTTCATACATTCTAAATTTAGTTCATACACAGAGGTGTAATCGCTGAAGAATTCAGTTATAAGCAGATTAATGCTGTGAAAATAATTCAAATTAAAATCTAAGTAGATACAGGAGTCTAGTGAAGACATAAGATCAAAGAGAAGAAAAATAGATACAAAAGCATACAAAGTGCAAAGCGGTCTGTGGAGTCATATGAGGATGCTGCAGTAGAAATAAGAGAGAAAAAAAGAAAATCCAAGTCCTGCCTGCACTATACTGTCCATTTAAGCTAACACTCAGTCCCTAACACAGACTCCCAGCAGCTGATACAAACACACTAATGCAGAGTGTTGCCTGAAGACAGAGATGATTTTATGAAGAAAAGCAATACTAGAGTTAGATCTGGGGCCTTACTCTTGACTCTGTTGACCATTTGATGTTAGATTAAGCTATCAAAGCTAATGAATCTGTGTTTCCTTATTTCTAACCTGAGGAATGTACTACATGTCCCAGAGACAGCCATGCATATCACTAAGTAGAATGCCTGACACCAAGACAGGCAAATAGAATCTACTCAAGAAATGCCGGTTTCCCTTAGTCTTTTCTCATTCTAATTCTCTCCCTAACTCACTCATCAAAATCAAGATTGGGGTCACCCATTTAGCAATAAATTTAGCTTTCAGCTTTTCAATTACATAGCGAATGACATGTGACTACATTTTTAACATAAAAATACCCAACAATACAGAAGTACATAGAATAAAATATCTCCCTTCTCCACTTCATATAATTTTGGTATCTGTACATGTATGGGTTTCTACTATGAATATTTTCTACAACTTATCTTTTAAAATTATGTTAACATGAATCAAAGGTATTTAAAGTTAATGAGGATAGAACTATCTAATTTACTGCCTACTACTGAGGACACAGCATCTACTATTTCTCCCCTTCCCCCTTCTCCCTGTGAGGATACAGCGAGAAGACTCTCATGTGATGCTATCACCTTGGCCTTGGATTTCCCAGGCTGTATAACTATGAGAAATAAATTTCTATTCTTTGCAAATTACCCAGTCTCAAGTGTCCTGTTACAGAAGGGATTTGTGTATCCATTCAGCCTCTGTAGTACAAAAGTGGTCATACACAATATTATATGGCTGTGTTCAAGGAAAAACTCTGGAAGGAGGCCGCCTAGATTTGGTGCATCGCCTCCAGCTTCCGAGCCCCTGCCTTAAATCTGTGAGAGTCACACGGTGAGCCAGGTGCTACTGCTTCTCCATTATTGCCAGAACAGATAAGATTCTATAAGATTCTATCAGAGCATTTATTAGGTGGTATTGAAATTTTTTGGTTATATGTCCAAGTCATCTATAATAGACTGTGAGTTCCTTGCAGACAAGAATTATATCATATTCATCCCTGGATGCAGTATCTATCAGAGTGGCTTCTACATTAATATTCATCACCAATTTGAAGAATTACACGAAGACAAGAAGACTGGAGATCATTATACTTGCAATATCATAATTATCAAAAATACCTTGCTCTGAAAGAATATTGTCCAGTATTCAAGACTCTACCAAGAACTCACTGTTTGAATTTTCTTTTGCAAATTTTTTGCAGTATAATGAGGATTATTGTATCTGAAATTTGCTCTGAATTTGTCTTTGGTTTTGAGGTCAGCTCAGGCAAAGTTAAAACATTTCTTTGTTACCAAACTTTTTCAATCATTTGGTTTTTTTTTGTTTGTTTGTTTTTCATTCATTTCTTTATTTTCAAGAAAAATTACAATGCAGTAATTCATTTAGAATTCTGACTCCATGAATCCATGTCTTCCAGTTAAAGTTGAAGTAAATAAACACATCGTTATTGCACTAGTCTTTCTGGAAGAATTAGACCACCCTTAAAAATCCATTATTCAAAAACAAAATAAACTGATTACAACTCCTACCATAAACTAGGCATTAAAATTCCTAAGAAATTTAAGATCTAAACTAGAAGAAAAGGAAGGCTGAGTACCAAAGTGTTACCTCAGATCCCAAGCAGAATATTGAGGACTGTCCCATTCTAGAAGGCTTATCAGAAGTACCAAGTAGGCGTGCTAGTGGGTGACACAAGAAAATCAAGGAATGCACTCTTGGAGGACCTGCTGGATACACTAGAATGTCAGGGGAAGGAGGACTCAATGGAAAACCCTGGCTACTCATAACACTTTTGATTTTCTTACTGATACCCTAGAAATTAAAGCATACATTCATCTCAGTCTAAAGAAATTATTTTTTCATGTGGCTGATAATGTTAGAACTCTAAAATTTTTTCTCTCTACTTAGTCACATCTCACCTTTTCTATATATACATTAGCATTTTAGTTATATTTACACTTTAAGGTCCACAAGACATTGCAGTTACTATTTTTGCAGAATCGGAGTCCACTTTAATGCATATTCATCCACAGTTTATCCACAGTTCTTCACTCCTTCCCGCATTACCTTTTTCCCATCTGAGTTCACTTCCTCTCCATTAACAGTTCTTTCTATTTCAGGCATCACAGTGTTAAATTCTCTTCATCTTTGTCTGTGTGAGAAGAAATCACCATTTTAATTTTTATTTTTGAAGAGTACTTTCTCTAGGTAAGTAATCCTATAGCACCAGTTTTTATCTTTCAGCGCTTAGGGATGCATTACATTGTTTTCTGACTTACATCAATTCTGTTCTCAGCTGTCAATTTTGTTATTGCTTCTTTAAAGGTAGTATCTCCTTTTATTCTTGCATATATTTATGTTTTTCCCCTTTGGCTTTTAGAAATTTCTCTGTGATATTTCCAGGTGTGGATTTCTTTATATTTATTATTCTAGTGGTGTGTGAGACTTACAAAGATTCATTCAGTAAAGATGTGGGCTGTCCAGACCTTTGGGTTTGGTTCCATAGTTCTTTACACAAGGCAGGAAACAGTGAGTGTCCCTACGAGGAAATTACACATGCACTAAATGCCTCTCCTGTATTTAACTGTCATTTCAGCCCATGTTACCACCAAGAGATTGCAGGTTACTTTTCTGCCAATAGAGACTCTTTCCCCAAGCCAGGATCAATTCTCATTTTTCTCCATCTATATGTGATAGGCGAGCTATTTTTCCTCTCTGAAACTTTAGCCACCCTTCTTCTATTGCTCTCTGACTTTTTGAAAGCAATGATGATGTTAAACTCTTCTAGTTTAATCTAGTTGCTCCAGTAGAGCATCAGCTGTCTAAATAAGTTATATATGAATGTAGTAAATACAAACCTAAACCAAGACCAATGCTAACTGGTGACTGATATTTGAGTATCAGTTGGGCTAGAATAAGAGACTCCTGGAAAGTAAATTGGATTGTGAGGGTACTAACCTCATCAGTAAGCTACTCAGTGAGTTAACGTATTGATAACTTGGTAGCTGAATGGGTTATTAGGAGGCAGGGCCTAGTTGGCGGAAGCAGTTCATGAAGTCATGTTCTTGAGGCTTCTATCTACTTGCTGAGCCCTTCTTTTCAGTATTCTTCCCTTGTTCTCTCTTCCAGGTCAACAGGAAGTGAGAGGCTTTGCTCTACCACACCTCCCTGACATAGTGCTTTTGCCTTAGAGCTAGCCAATTATGGACTTTAATCCTTGAATGTAGAGCCAAATTAAGTCCCTCATCCCTAAAGATGCAGGGGTCAGATATTTTGTCCGAGCAAGAGACAGCTAACCAGTACACTCAGTATCTGTAGGCCATCAAGCTCAGTATGGCTCTGCTCACAGTCTCAAATTGCTGCAGTCAATGTGGTGTTAAGCTATGTTCTGTTTCACAACCAGAGACATCGTTCCAAGATCACAGAATTCAGTTGGCAGAATTCAGTTTCTTATAGTTGCAGAACCAAGAACCCAGTGTTTTGCTGCTCATAAGCTAATAGCTTCTCTTAACACTTGAAGACATTTGCAGTTCCCTGTTCAGTGGCCCCTTGACGGGTACTCACACAGAGTCCTCTCACAACAAAAACTGTAAGAAATAAACCTTTCCTTCCCAACTTTGGGCATCAGGTATTTTGTCTCAGCGACAAGTAAAAAGTAACTAAGACAGCTTCTTAAAGTTTTTATACTGAAGTGGAACATTGCCTTGTGATTCAGCAGTTAATTTATGTTTATTTTTCCATTAAATTTAAAATATTTTCATGTTTTTAAAACTATTATTCATGATTTTTTTAAAAAATTCTGTTTTTGTACATATGATTTTATCTATCCATGTTGATCAAAGTACACTATTGATAATATCTGAATGGTCATTATACTTTGGCCTAAAAACAATAGTAATTAGCTTTAGTATTCCATATCACTCTCCGTAAGTATAGTATACATTACTTTGAATTTGTCATTGATCTTACTTGTTACAGTAACACAAGTAACATTATTCACTTCTATAAAATTGACTGGCTGCACATGGACTGGAACTATTTATTATTTTCAGTACAGTGTGGTATACAAGAAACGCTTGTGAGCTTATGAGGAAAATGTAATCCTAAAGATGGATAATTAAGGCTGGGGATTTAGCTCAGCAGTGCCAGTGATTGCCTGGAAAATGCAAGGCTGTGAGTTCGATCTCTGGTACAAAAAAAAAAAAAAAAAGGATAGATAAGTAATAACGTACTACTGCAGAAGAAGGGATTATTTTAATTATAAAACATGTTAGTGATCCTTATTAACTTCGTATTGAATAGTTTTTATTCTAAGCAGTTCAAAAGTGCTGATAGAATTCAAACAAAACCTTAAATGATTTTACTTGATTAAAAACTAAGAACTTGCTGATCTGGGAAAAGATTTGATCCCAGATTTAAAGGGTTATTGAATCTTAGACTATTGAAAACTTAGTCCTACATAGTCCTACATATCTAAGTAGGAAAAAGAAAACATTTGTCTAAGCAGCCTCAAATTCTGAAAACCAAGCAAACCTCCCCCTACACACACACACACACACACACACACACACACATGCAATAGCATTTCTATCTTGCATTTCTAGTTGACAAATATACATATGATAAACATGCACACGAGTTACAGTGCCCAAAAGTGCATCACCAGGAGTCACATTAAGTATATATTATAGTCTGCTCTCTCAATCCTGTACGGGGAACCTTAAATTATTAAGCTTTGAATACCTGATATAATTCATTAGAAACTGTTTCTTTACTGTGTCCAGGCCTTCTTCCAAATAAACTAGAAAGAGAAGATCCTCTATGTGACTGTACTTCCCTGATCAGTACAAGAAACAAACCCAATGGGAAAACTCTAAACTAGAGGTTGATTTATTCACTATTTTATTAATTTTTGAGGTCCTACTAAGTGCCAAACACTCTTCAAGGAGCTAGACTCAAAATGCTGAACCCAAACAGACTACCATCATGAAGCTTACAAGCCAAGTAAGAGAAACACAGTCAAACCATCTTGGAATCTGCCAAAAGGTATATTTATCACAGGAAATTACAGAAAGAAACCAGTCATGGTGCATGCTGGACTGGTGTATTGTGACTTAAATAAAGTATATTTCTGTAACATTTGAGTTGACATTTCAAAAGAGGAGAGCAATTAAGCAGGTGAAATTATGTGGGTACAGTTATTAGTCAATGTGAAATGCACTGCTAAATGAAATCTCTTGGGGGAGATAAGCAGAAAATGAGAAGAATGCCCAGGACTGATAGTCATGAAGCCACAACATTTAATAACCAAGAAGTTGGGTCTGGTGATATATGCCTGTAATCCCAGCTCTGTGAGAGTTTGATGGGGGAATTGCAAGCTTGAGCCCAGCTTGGGCAACTTAAAAGCTTAATGAAACTCTGTCTCTAAAGAAATTGTTTAAAGGTTAGAGGCTGGGGATGTATCTCAATACCACAAAAAACATTAACTAGTTTTGAATCTGAAAATTAGCCCAAAATGAAATATCCAGCAACCTGGAAAAGTACTTAAATCAACCAGGGCCTTTTGGGTAGAAGAGTGAGGAATTCTCAGAAGAGAATTTCTTAGACTCAGATACACATACTAACAGACAAGCAAAATCCACAAACCTAGAAAACCGTGTGAAAATACAGTTTAACTTGCAGAGAGAGCAGTGTAGAGGAGACTTTGTTAGCTATGACTGAAACCAAAGGCAGTTTCCTTCAAATAAGGCAACAAATGTTTGCTGTTGAAAGGTAAATGAGAGATGACCAAGAAACATAATAAATATTAAGTGATGTTCTATTTTTGAACACTATTGTAGAGATCTACATGCATAACAAAGTATTTCTTGTCTCCTTTACTTTCTTGGGTATCCTTGCAATAAATGCCTTTCCATAAAGTTATTCAACCATATCTGTTTTATTGCTACCTGAAAGACCCCGCTAGCATATCTAGAAAACAGGCTTAATCGAGCCTTGTGCCCCTTGACATGATGCAGAACCACAGTAAATTGTTTTTTGTTCTTTAGTTGAGTAAAAAACATATTCAAAAATTGTGAAAAATAAGTAAGGAATCTTTGAAGAATGTAGAACAGATATAATCTTAATGCAGAACAAACTCTATAGATAACGGATTACTGACTTCAGTCTATAGTCACAGAAATGGGATAGGTTCACTGACATGGGAAGGGGACTTTAGCTGGAAAGCCCACTTCCTTCATGAACTTGAAGTAATCGCATGTATTTTTAGTGTAAGATCAATCACACCATCTATCATCTTCATTCCACAACTACTTTCATCAACATAGAGAAAGAGTACTGAATTTGTGATGCTTTTGACAGTTCTCAATTAATCCTTTTCAAGTTATTATCTGTATGCTTAATATGTACTTAAGTTGTGAACGCAAATAGTCATACTGTCATCTAGTTAAAATGGATAATCTGAAGTCCTCTACTGCCATTCCAGCTCATTTCTGTATATATTTACAGACCACAAAGTTTTTACAGTCTGTAGAGTACAACTTCCTAATACATTGCCGTACTTATACCTACCAGCCAGGTAAGCCATTATCTAGTCTCCATCATGCAGCAACAATGTTTCCTTTCCATTTTCACCAATATACAAATGCCGCTATACTAACTCTTGTTTCTTAAAAATAAGCCTACACATATCTCTCTCTGGGGGGTCACATGAACAGTGAAACTCCTACAAAACGTTTGCTAGCTCCTTCCCCGCGTCCCATCCTGAACCCATGCACCAGGCCTCTGCCCTCCTCATGTCACTGATAGCCACCCTAGCAGGCTCACTGGTGACCTACAAGGAACCAAACGCAGCCATCATTTCCCAGTTCTCCTCCTACTTTCTGGGTCAGTAGCAGAGACAGTGCATTGCCCCTTCCTTGCAACATTTCTCTGGCTTCTGGAACAACTTTCCCTCCTGATTATCCTCCCTATTTAACCTGCCATATTTTGCTGATTGCTCGCTATCTGTCAGATAGCAGAACAACACGATACACATTGTTTACATTCAGGATTCTCCTCTGTCTATATTCACTGTCAGGGTAAGCCTGTCCAGGCCCCTAGATTTAAATGCCATCTGCATTTTGATTACTTCAAATGTGTGTCTCCAACCTG